ATACATTCCACATTTCAGATTAACTACTTTTTCTAATTGTGTTGTCGAAATTCATAAAGGGAACTAATTGCTTTAAATATTGCCACTGAGATAATGCATACCGATATGAAAAGATACCTACGTAAGTATCGCCCACAAAACAACCAAATCACTTCAAGACTGATTCCAAACTGATTTCATTTACCGAACCACTGAAAATCAGATAGTGTTGAACAGCTGTTTCAGCCTAGTTTGGGTAAATAGGCTCACTTCCTAACCTGAAGATCTGTGATTTGATCCTTCGTGGGGTCATGGGTTTATACCTCTGTAGTATCACAAATTAGAGCGAAAAAGCCGTCAGTTTCGAAATGGCTGCAAGCCAACATTTGAAATTCACTTCAGTCTATTCTATGTCAACCAAAAGACTTAAAGGCGAAGGAAGACAATGCAAAGTCAATGTCAGTTTGGATTTTGCTTCCACAAATATAAATCGGTTGTCAAAAGACATGATATCTATATCTTCTTATCAATGCCTGAAGACGACTATGGATACCAATCCGAATTGAAAACAAATTTTAGACCAAGGAAACATCGAATGAGTCAAGGAATTCCCAGCAGTCTGGTGTCTAGGCGAATCTGCAAACAACAAACACTTTGAAAAATATATCAAACATATCAAATAATGAAAATGAAGTCGGATAAATATATATGTGTAAAATATTGGCGCTGTGGTAGTATGTAATTCCATAGCCTTCCGTCAGCCATCAAGCACACATTCTATGCCACATCTCTTTCCCTCACATCTCGAACATTTTCGATCCCTGTATCAACGATCAAAGGAAGAATTTCAATGGACTCTTCGTCAAACCGTATCTACAAGTTCCCCTGCAGTTATGGTGACACGTATGTAGGTAGAACCAATAGAATGTTCCAGTGTCATCGAAAAGAAAATGTTCCAAAGTGGTTATTAAAACACAGAAAATCCCAATACAATCAGTCTGAATGGAAATCCATCATCATCCATTGCAAAGCAGTTATTAATGTCAGGTCACAAAATCAATATTAATTAATGTTGGCTTCACAATTATTTGATATAACTTTAATTCAAGGTTATTGAAGGTGATGGAAGTACTTTGGATTAATCACATACATCCTAAACTATGTGTACAAAAAACAAAAGACTTCAATTAATGTCGCCTACCATGGACTACTTGAGCTATTTAAATATGATTGGTCATTAGCATGTACTTTTAGTTTTATATAAGTGAGTAATTGTCATGCCTTTTGTTTTATTTTATTATTGTTAACAATGTTAGTTGCAAAGTGTTGTAAAGTAACTACGGAACAATATCATCTCGCGAAATCTGTCTTCTAAATGCCTTATTCAGATTTATCAAAGGGACTAATTGTTTCAATTCCATATTAGTTTGTTTATTAGATGTATCACACAGTGAAACAGTATTATTTACTGGATGACAAATTTCGAACAAAATTTATTGTTCATAATCATTTCATCAATTATAATCACACGACTTTGAAACTTGAGTTTTATAGTTTTCTATGTCCTCTCCTATTTGTCGTTGGGGTAGTAGAATTTTCCAGATATTTGGGTGGACAGGTGTTGAATCATTCCTATTACATGTGTTTGCAGTTGATTCGATAGACAAAGTTTCTGTTATCAATCTCTCCCTCCACCCTGTTACATTTTAAAATACACACAGTGAAACAGTATTATTTACTGGATGATATCTCAAACACAATTTATTGCTGTTCATAAAATCGTATCAATTATAACCGCAAAATTTCAAAACTCTCGTTTTATAGCTTTTTTTATTGCATCCAATCGTCGTAGGGGTAGTAGGATTTTCCAGATATCCGGGTGGACATCTGTTGAATCACTTCTATTACACGTATTCTCTTCGGTCGATTCAGTGAATAAATGAGTCAATGTCTCCCTCCACCCTGCCATAACATTTTAAAACTGTCATCTTATCCCATTCTATTATATGGTTGTGTGTAACTGCATATGGTAAGCTGAGCTATCCCCTAGGTTTCTTATCTTATTCGAGTCAACTAATCTAGATTTTGCCAGGGTTTTGTGCTCTGCTAGTCTGATTGACTCTGTCGTACCACTCTGATCTATGTATTTGACCTGACAATCATTGCAGGCAGGGTATTCGATAAACTAAATTATTTTGCTTAGTTGGCTACACAGGATCCCTTAACCAACAAAGTTTGTTTCTAATTGAGTTTGTGGTTTGAATGCCAGCCACTTTTATACTCCTGCCTTATTAAGAATTCTCCGTAAGGTGGTTTCCGAGGTTCCTTCTTTGAACGGAAGTACTATTTATGATTTCGATTATCTACTATTGGTGTTGTCATCATTCTGTGGATGTTTGTCATGCACATCATTGTTTATTAAGTTTATTTTTACATTTATCTAAATACTATCTGATTAATTTATCAAGGTAATTATTAAGTTTTAAAGCTTATGTCATATGCCTCACTTCCTGTCTTAGATTTACCTTGGTACTGTTTAGTGTTTTTGCCCTATTGTACTAAAAATTTCCGTCATCATATATTTATTAACATGGGGTAGGATGATCCGAAATCCAAATATCGATATCAATATGATTATGAACAACAAATTGTGTTTGAAACGTTATCCAGTGAATAATACTGTTCCTTTATATGATATATTAATAACCAAAATACTATGGGAAAGGAAGTCACGTGGAGAGACGTCAACAATCAGATCAACAAAGTAATAATTATCAATACGTTGTGGAAAAGAGATTGAAAAAAGAAAGTTCCAGAAATAACCAGTCATGTTCAGATTCATTAGGGGAAACACCAGATAAATTCATAGGCAAGTTTTAAGGTCTAACTTCATAACAAATTCATCCTGCAGCAATAAGGTTTCACTATTCAACCGTCTACCTCAGATAATACAAATATCAACATCAATATCATCCACCTCAGTTAAAAAAACCTTCTGCATTATCTCTCTTCTCGTCACCTGCATACTTCATTAAATGTTAAGAGGAATGAAAGAAGATTTTTAACCTGTAAGTGATAGTATCATTAGCAACATATCAGTTGGCAACAGCTCACTCAATTTGAAACCCAACTAATACACACACACACCTGCGGTTTGCTTTAGATAACCAGGCCGGATAGTCAGATTCAAATTCTAGAGTGCTCAGTGCTTAAGTGAGCATGTAATTGAAGGTTCAGAGTGGATTTCCGAGATCCAAATTTTGATCACAAATAATGATACTATCATCAGTATGTCTCTCGTAGAAATTCCCACTTAAACATTAACTTCACTATAGAAGTTGAATCTGACTCGATTTTTAACTGCTCAGAAATCCTGATAATTCACTGAAGAGATCCACCCGAAACAAACCCACATGAAGCGGGCAGTTTATCACTTTTTAGAGTTGTGTCCCTCTAAGCAGAATGAGAAAGCTTAGGTACTACTCTTTTTCTTTGAAGCTCTAGGAAATAGATACCAACGGATTTATTAACAAAGAACTGTGAAATCTCTCAGGAACCTTGATAGAAGATGGTTTACCAATCAGATTCATTGAAAAGAATCTCAAACCAAAGAAAACATCTGAAAAGGTCCAAGTTGCTTTCAAAAATGATACTGATTTTTGATATGTATCCACATGATGTGTGTGTTTTGTTGTTGACAGTCTATTATATTTTGCTATGTGTATATGGATCGATATTTCATTATAACTGACAATATGCTTTTGTCTGTCCACTAACTAAATAAACAATGTATGACCTTGTTATCATATAACATTACAACCAATCATGGTAAGACGTTATCTTATTGGTTCATGTGTATTAGCCATTTTCATATATACTTTTGTATTAGACGCTTATTCTTTCTTGTGTTTCCACGTTTCGTACTTACGTACCATTCACTCACACACTTGTGTGACATTTATTTTCCTTGTCTGGAAAATACAAGTATCATCGTAAACCTGGTGGTCTTCTGATTTCCCTCTTTCCGCGGCGTCAGGACTATTAACTACTCGACGAGTACATGACATAATTGGCGACGGGGAAAATTCGAATAACTCACTCAGCAGCAGTACATAACAATTTTTAATCTCAAATTTAAAAGTGGCACTGAAGCAGAAATTCTCCGTAAACACCTTTGAAAATCTCTCAGTGAAACATACTTCTCCACCAGCCTACGAGTGACAGTTTCTTCCAAGAAACTATTCAATCAACATGTGAAAGACAAACTGTCGCTCACATTGGGCCACTTCAACACGCATATACCAGTTTACTTGCCCATGTGGAGCTTACTACATTGGCCTTCTCATGAATCCACCAGTAAAACGCGCTTGGGAACACTATTCAATCTGAATACTAACAAATAACTTCAGCGGTGGTTAGCTATGAGTAATGGTCACTCAGAGACTTGGCGCGTCACAAAGATCATCTCGAACAAACTACACACATTCATTAACAGTTGTCTTCGCTCAATACTCAAGATCAGATGGCCGGCCAGAAAAGATCAGCAACAGGGATCTCTGGCAATGAGCGAACCAATCCAGTGGGAACCGATTGTGAAACAAATACGCAGAGAGAAATGGAGATGGATTGGCCATACTCTGAGAAACCACCAAGTGACATCACTAGACAGGCCATCGCTCGAGTGGAACCCGAAAAGGAAGCGGCGAGTTGGTCGTCAGTGTGTGGGTGACTTGGAGGAGGTCATGTGAAGAGGAGATGAAAGCACGTGGGCAGACTTGGAGCTAGGTGAAAACGTTGGCAGAGAACCGAACGCAATAGAGACGCGCGGCTGAAGCCCTATGTTCCTCTAAGAATTAAAGGATAGAATAATAATAATAATGGTCGCTTAGAAGAATCAAGTGTTCATCGATTCTAGTCATTTACACAGATAACAGCAGCACAGAAATCTTTATTATATAATCTAAATATTTCAAAATAAGATTAAAATATCCACGATATCTACTTCATTTATCTATACTTACCATTGCTTGTAGATCTTGTATTAGATACAATATCTGACGGTCTAATACCCAAATGAAAAAGCAATGTTGTTAATCCCCCAATACCGATGATAGTGAAACCAAGTTTCTGAAAGGCTGGTATATCATCTTTACCAAAATCAATGAAAGATATCGATGTAGGTGATACTTGATCTGAACATTTTGATAATGGATGAGATGTCATCACCATAGGTAGTAGTAATAAATCATTATGTTCAACGAATGATACATTAGAAGTTATATAATTTTTTCTAGTAATACTCGTACTATTATGATTATTGGAAGTGTTGATAGCGATAGGCTTGTTGCTAGAATGTTGATGCTCCAGTAAAAGAAATGTACTAATATAAACAACTAGATTACTAATCACAGTGAATAGATATCGCAAAGAGTTTAGTAAAGTGCGTTCACTTGGTTCCAAGGATAATTCATTCATTAAAGCCAGATGTGTTATTTGAACTGCTGCCCAACCCGTCTAAATATAAAGAAAAGAAATATAATAGAATTCAGAGGAGAAAATTTGATGCAGAATAGAAACTACTGACTTGTAAAGTATACAATATCCGAATGGAAATTCACTACAGCTCCCCCTTTGAAAGCTCAAAACATGATTCGTTGGCTGATTGAGTTCCAACAATAAAACTTAGCACAGAGGTTCAGCAGTTCAAGTTACCACATTCCCATGTAGTATGTGTGTACTAAGGTGGACAAAAGAGAGAAGAAAATTCAGAAATATGAGGGAGAAATAACACTGGGAGAATGAGACGGTTCCGTGGATATGAGAGATCACAAATAAAGGAATGCATCTGCGCCACTGGGAACGAGGATTTTGAGCCATATCACCACAGCATTCTCATGTAATTAGTTCTAAGCATACCAAGGACGTCAAATAGTCAGTTTGCACTTCCCTATGTATCCCAAACCAACTTTAAAAACACTTCATGTGCTGATACCAGACTTTGGTCTGACCATCTCTAACTCTTTTGCAACTTAATTCTATGTCAGCCGATACTGCTTGTCAAGTTCAAAATATTCTTAATATAGAGTATCTACTTGACACCAAGAAGGTGAGAAGTCTATTTATTATTAGATGCTTGGAGGCGATCGGGAGAAAGTCCTGGACCCAAGTTTCGTCTCTGTTGGCACTCATCAGCAAGGCATATCTGCAACCTTTAGGGAATCCATATCCCTTCTGATATTCGAACCCGCGTCATCTAGCGATGGCAACCCATCTAGAATGGTGGTCACATTGCAGACTTGACTGACAGAATTCAGTCTACATCAAGTGAAGGACTAGACACATGACACCAGTGAATTAGTGTTCAATCACAGTAAGCTACGTGTTAGCCATTTCAAAGTGGTCTAACTACCATGTTCAGATTTGAGTTACTTCTTACTACTGAAAACAATCAGTAGCACAGATGATCTTATTAATAATATATATTATTTACTTCACATTCTACTTTTGGGTACTCCTTTTAACTGTAATAAGCATAGATGAAATAACAGTCATAAGCACAAGAAGAAATAAATAATGAACACAATTCCCTTTTCAGCGAATCATTTTCAAGGGCTGTACGATTGTATTTATAGTTAACAAAGAAGAAACAACAGAGACTGAGTTAAGATCTCTACGTGACAACCTACTGAAAAAGGGATACCCATCTCGATTTATTGACATAAATACTTGAGAAAAATCCCGGTCACCTAAAGTTGTGACTGTTCCTAAGAAAACCTTTTTCATGAGTTTAGAGTTGAAAAGTGACGCTAAAGTAGCAGTTTTTAGCGATCGACTTACTTTAAATCTGAAAAAGACATTTCAAACAGCCATCTTACAAATCAAATTCTCCAGCAGACAGTTAATTCAGTCATGCATCAAAGATAAGATACTGGTTTTACCAACCTCAGTGTTTATTTATCAGTTTACTTGCTCGTGTAGATCGAAGTGTATCTGCGTAAACAGTGTCAAGTTTGCAGACGTATTCTGAAACACTGCCTAGCCAGAGGAGAAAAGAAGAACATCAGTAATTCTATCCTCAAGCAACTTGTCAACTTTAAACATTCAGCACTCCAGTGTGATTGCTGCACAGATTTCCTCAAGAAAAGACTTCAAATACACCATTAAGGCATAGCTGAATTACTGGCTATTTCAGAACCTGGAACCGGAACTCTGAGTTCAGAATCACCATGTATACCTACTCGCCTTAACATGGCCACAGTAATCTTCTTACAATAATTTTGTTCCAATTTACTATTATTTTACAATCACCATTATAGTTTATTAATAACATCGCATTTTTCATAAGAGTTTTATTTTCCATTAGCTTTTGTGCCATTTATGCATTTACACTGATTAGTCACTTTTTACACTTCTAATGTAACTCCGGCTTCTGCCTCTTTCCTGATCTCCACATAGTCATCCCTTTCTAGATTACAGCTGACATTATGCAATACACCTTTCTAGAAAAAATTTACTCGCATCTGATTGGTCTTATGAATTCTTTGTCAAATATAAATATGATTGTATAGCTCTTGAAAATGATTTCCTGCCTCCTACCTAACCTTCCCTTTTTACCAGAATTACCATCGACTAGGTTATGTTTAGGATTACGTCACTTGGAAATTAAACCGCGGATGACGTGCGTGGTTGGCTAGCACTCTACGACTGAACCGCCGACGTCGTGTATAGATTTCCTATACATTATGCTTCCAAAGTAAAATTTAAATTGGATATGGAATCACTCACCACTGTGTTGCACGCACCCTAATGAGTATCGAAATCTAAGATTAACTAAAAATCAATAACATTCAAGTGCTGGTTTGTAGGGAATTGATTAGTTTCAGGATTTCACCATAAGCTGACATCAGTTAGAGAACCATTGGAAAACCTAGGAGTACTGGACAGCTGTTTTATCCTAGTTCGGGAATCCTCATCGGTATGCATTCACCCCAAGGGGTCGAACCCAGGACCTTCTGGTTACAAGGTGAGGTAGCTCGTATACCATTAAGCCACTGGGATTCGATCCAATGGCCAACCCATGAATTCTAACTTCTGTCAATTCACGACATAGGGCAACCCCTGGCCAATGTCTTCGGTGAGTATTTGTCCTCGCACCCGACCTGCTGCACCCTACTGGTCACGACTTCTCACTAGAACCTTAAGTAACTACCTACCTGAATGGGGCAAGTCGCTAGTGAACATCTCATTGATATTCAAGCGACTTGCCCCATTCAGGTAGGTAGTTACTTAAGGTTCTAGTGAGAAGTCGTGACCAGTAGGGTGCAGCAGGTCGGGTGCGAGGACAAATACTCACCGAAGACATTGGCCAGGGGTTGCCCTATGTCGTGAATTGACAGAAGTTAGAATTCATGGGTTGGCCATTGGATCGGGTCTCAGTGGCTTAATGGTGTACGAGCTACCTCGCCTTGTAACCAGAAGGTCCTGGGTTCGACCCCTTGGGGTGAATGCATACCGATGAGGATTCCCGAACTAGGACAAAACAGCTGTCCAGTACTCCTAGGTTTTCCAATGGTTCTCTAACTGATGTCAGCTAATGATGAAATCCTGTAAAAATCAATAAAGCGATAAGGTTAACCTATTTGATTTGCAGATATTGATGTCATTATTTTCTTTATTTAATTATTCATTTCTATTGCCTAGCAGACTAAGCAGCACAGACAAGGGTTCAAGTGGACATAGAGAAGATGAAGATGATGGAAATTAACCAACCAACTAACAATGACAAAGAGCAATCACTATCAGCGGAAAAAATTTGGAGGAGTTCACTTCCTTCAGTTAGCCAGGCAGCATTGTTTCAACTACAGGAAGTCGACAGCATGAATTAAGATGTTAAGACCAGCCAGAATCGGATGAAAAAGACAGATCTTCATCACTCTGAGATAAGTTTAGAAGTCCTCTATACTCTACACAAAGAACAAAATTAGGATTTTCAACACTAATGTTAAGTCCCTGTATGTGTCTTAAACTTGGCACGTGTGTCATAGAAAGCATTTTAAACGAACTGCAGACTTCCCTCAACAGCTGCCTTCGGTAACTTCATACTGAAGATCAGATGGCCATTAAGAAAACGCTAGCAAAAAGAACCTCTGGGAAGGAACTAACTGAGAATCTATCGCTCAACAAACATGTAGGAGAGAATGGAGATGGAGTGAGTACACGCTGAGGAGACCGTCGCATGGCATCACGCACCAGGCCGTCGCTCGAGTGGAACCTGAATGGGAAACGACGAATTGGTCATTGGTCGGAGGGTGATGTGGAGGAGATCATATGAGGAGAAGATAAGTGCCTATGGACAATCGTGGGCCCAGTTACAGAGAACAGCAAAAAATAGAACAAAATGGAGACGTGGTGTTGAAGTCCTATGTCCCACTCGCAGCCCTAGGAAATAATAATTGCCTGTAACTCATTATATATTCGACTGTCAAATAAGTGATGCTGAAACAGTTTTTTGTTCTGAAAACCGGAGAATTACTGAATAAAGATTAATTCCGGAAGAATAGGCAGTTGACGGCTGTTTCACTCTACATTCAGATTATTTTTAGTAGAACTCCTATGATACTTAATACCATAGAACCCTTGATCATCAAACCGATCAAGTCGGTAAATTTAGATGTTTTCGTAAAGCTACTAGAGAGGATAGAAGTGGGAACAAATATTGTTTCAAACATTTTTTTTGTATTTGCACTTGTTTAAATTAGAGTTTTCTCTTTAGATTAAACATGTTTTAACAAATGTCCCACTACCCCTCAAGATCAGCAGTGCGGACCTCTACCAGCTAATCTATGGGACACAATCAGTAACCGGAGTCATCATTTCACTGTCACTGCCCAAATAATAGAGTGTCACGTCATTAATCTGGTTGCTGCAACCAAGATATCCAGTTCCCATTAAAAGGTATACATTCGAAAATAAAATTGCATTATACTATAGAAACTGAATTTTTAATCAGCCTAATGTATTATCATTCATACAAAAGCTGTTGCTTCCTTTTTAACGAACCAAATTTCGAAGTAGTATTTACCAATCTTTCATCTGAATAAAAATGCCCAGTAAAATTTTTCGAAAGCATGTTTGCTGAACAAAGAATATTCTTTTCGATAATCTGCTTTTCATCAGGTTCTACAGTTATATATACATACATAATAGTGAATGAATGAATTAGTGTTATTAACAACATTCATGTTGTTTAAATAACATCGAATCAATAATAATGGTAATAATACCAATGGATTACAGTTCAATAGCATCAACATAACAATAAACTGAATGTCAGAAAAATTAAGAAAGATAATAATACAAATTCATGAATTTATAGTCTCTGCTGGAGGCCAGCCAGGACAGTAGTGGCTGGACTTTCTTCCCCTCTAGTACAAAAGAACTTTAGTAAAGACCCTCAGCCACAGGGTTAGAGCTATATGCTCAGGAGAGGTAATTTAAAGATGAACTTATGATTGTTTATGATACCTTGATTGAAAATAGCTATCCTGACAAATTTATCGAGAAAGATATGACAAAGAAAGAGGAAAACGACTACTCACTATCCATAAACAAGAAGCCCTTATACATACGACTGCGATTCAAGGGTGATATACCTAGCAAAATAATCACGAACAAGTTAAGAAAATTTATTCAAAGAACTTTTAATGCTGACAAACTACAAGTCTTATTTTGTACACGGCCTATGGTGATTCCTCGATTGAAAGATGAACTACCTAGACTAGCTACCTCTTCGTGGATCTACCAATTCAACTGCTCTTGTACAGCGAGTTATATTGGCAGTTGCTCTCAGGACTTGATTTTTCGTGCTCGAGAACATCTCTTAGTATGGCTAAGTAAAAGTGTAGTAAAAACCACCAATAGTTCGATATTGGACCACCTGGTCCAAACCGGCCACAAAGCTAGCCAGCACTGAAGAATCCTTCTCTATCATCTACCGGACACCAAATAGATTGCTAGAAACATCGAGGAACCGCATGCTCCAAACAGCAGAGGCTATCGCAATTCACCTGAAACAACCAGTGCTTTGTGTGCAAAAGAACGAAGTCCAACCACTAATACTGTCCTGGTTGGCCTTCAGTAGAGACTATAAATTCATGAATTTGTATTATTATCTTTCTTAATTTTTCTGACATTCAGTTTATTGTTATGTTGATGCTATTGAACTGTAATCCATTGGTATTATTATTGTTGATTCGATGTTATTTAAACAACAATAATGTTGTTATTAATACTAATTCATTCATTCACTATTACGTGTATATATAACTGTACAGCCTGGTGATGAAGTTATCGAAAAGAATATTCCTTGTTTAGTAACCACTGGTTTGAAAAATCTTTTATTTCTCTTGAAATTAGGGAAAACAAGAACTCACCTGAAATATCGCCACCAATGGTAAGTAATAAATCATTTTAGCCAATATACTGACATCCGATGAGCCAAGTGGTGGACCAAATATTAATGGGAATGAAAAAATAATCAAAGCGCTTCCGCCTAGATGCCATATTTTACGTCCAAATGGTCGAATTGCTCTTAAACAACACTGACACCGTTGAGATAAGGAAGGATTTGATGTTCTTGATATATTCACTGTTGTAACAGTACTGTCAACAATACTATTACTATTACTGCCAGTGGTTGTGGTAGAACGATAGTTTGGTATACAATTCTGATCATGATCTTTTAATGGTTGATGAGAATTGTGTAAAAGACTATCTGTATAGTTGTGTGTAACTGATGAAGATGTATGCAGTAATGATGATGGTGATGGTGGTCGTGAGGATGAGGATGAAACATGCGATTGAGAAGAGAGTTTATCTGAGAATACACCGATTAATGGTGTTACTAAACCATCGACAACTTGACCAACAAGTATTATTAAACCAGCCATACTTGTTGGTATGCCAATACCAAATTTAAAAAATACCAGCGTATATGTAAACCAGACAGATGCGCATAAATCATTTAAAACATGTCCAATTGCATAGGATAAACGTACACGCCATATCAATCCCATGATTAGAAGAATTTAAACCTAAAAGTGAAGAGTTAGCCAGAAAGGAAATCCCTTTAATTAGTAACAAGGAGAATAGGATTTTAACTAAAAAAATTACACTAAAAATCAGTAAACATTTTAATGAAACAATTTAAAAGAAAGACTTAAAATTAGTTAAAAAGTTATTGAAAATAAAACAGCACTGGATAGTTGTTTTGTCCTGGTCTCAGTCTCTTCATCAGTATTCACCTATGAAAACAATAGAGGTCGAACCCAGAACCTTCAGAGTGGAAGGCGAAACCACTGGCTATTCAATCACTGAGACAGACACCAATGGCGTAACTACTGCAAGCTCACGATATATACATATATATGTGGAGAGACAGAGAGAGTGCTAACACAGGGTCATACGTGTATGAACTAAAACGAAGGAGATATCCGGTATGCGAGTGTTTTGAGTGGTTCTCTAAGTGAGGTCAATCCGTGATCTAACTTGAAATCCATTAAATCTCTGCAAAATAACACAAGGAAACTATAGAAAAATCAATTAAACAAGCTTCAACACATAAGTAGACTTTCATTAAGAATATTTCTTTTACAACAGTTTTTGATGATTCATTGGTTTATTATTATTATTGTTTTCTTGGGTTCCTAGTGGAACATAGGGCTTCAACTGAACGTCTCCACTTGCTTCTGCTGTACTTTACACCTGCATCCATGTTAGTCCATATTGTTTCATCTCCTCTTCACATGATCTCCTCCATGTCACCCTTGGAAGTCCTACTCGCCACTTCCCTTTCGGCTTACACTCGAGCAATGGCTTGACGTGCGCGCGATGTCACCCAGCGGTCTCCTCAGCAAGTGTCCGATCCATCTCCACTTTCTCCTGCATATTTGTTGTTGTTGGGCGATTGATTCTTGTTTTGTTTGTTCCCATAGTTTCTTGTTGGTGATTCTTTCCGGCCCGGCCATCTGATCTTCAGTATAGATCCAGCGAAGACAGTTGTTGGTTGATAAAGGTTTGCAACAGGCTGTTGGGAATATTCTTTGTGACCCGCCCGCCAAGTTTCTGATCCGCATAGAAGAACTGACTGACTTGACGTTTGTATTGAAAATCCGACCGAATTTTGTTGTTGATACTGGCTGAGTGACGAAGATTTCCAGATTAGTTTCAGGTTGATGATGAATGTGTTTCTCGCTCGATTTGACATCCTCGTCCGTTCCGACTGGCTGTAGTTGGGACAGTGCTCCCTAGGTAAGTGAATGAAGTGATCTCTTTCAAATCCCTCCCGTTGATGGTGATCGGAGCTCATCGGTTTAGGCAGGCAATGATTAATTTTAAAGATTTTTCTACCTATTGTATTCAGCCGATAATACTGGTGAATTCAGCCTATTATAAATTGGTTCATCAGGTGGATTAATAACCTGTAAATGACCAGTGATTCATCTCATCTTTGACGTCTCCATAAAATTATGCTTCATCGCATTTTGACTGTAAACTAGTAACTAGTGTGTTGTGTCTAGTCCTTTCTTTGGTGCAGACTGAACTCTATCAGTCAGATTTGCAATGTGGCCAGCATGCTACTAGGTAGCTCGCCACCACGGTACACATTGATTTAATGATATTAGATAGTTGGAGGCAATCGGCCACAGGAAGCCTTGGACCTAGGTTTCGTGCTAATTGACACTCACTCACCAGTCAGCAAGGCGTATCTGCAGTCTCGAAGGAACTCGTCTCCCTTCTGAGATTCGAACCCCGCGTCACCCAGTGCTGCAGTCAGAAACGTTACTACTGAGCTATTCGGGCTCATAAAGTTCGAAATAAGTTTCATTGAACGTGTGCGTCAGTGGCACAGCAGTTAGGACGCTCGCCGACTATGCATATGGTCCAGGGTTCAATCCATCGTCTATGCACACCTCATATCAATGATCAGCCTGTTAAATTTGCGCTACTGATGTCACATGCTGAAAATTCTATACTTGCACCAAAAATACTGTGTGGAATCAAGCTATAATAAAAATTAAAAAATAAATATCTTGACAGTGAAATCACACATTTAAGGAAATCCATCCTCAATGTAAGGTTTTAATCTCCTTTGTGTCACATGGCACTAGCGAAATTTGACATTTAAATCGAATATTTAACTTGATCAATGTGAGTTTTAAACATTATTTTAATTGTGTTACACCGATCTGCTTAAATTCTTCGGCTAGTTAGCAGCCTTTTCATTGTTTATGCTCAAGTTCATTAAGTCACTGACACATTATACAACCCTAGGCAAAACATAAAGCATAGAGATCATGGAGTGTGAACGTACCAATGACCTTGAAAGCATATCATTCATTGGTGTAATATACATCAAAATTCGGTTTCAGGTGTTGGCTTGCAGGGATTTGATTGGTTTTAGGATTTCATCATGAACTGAAATCGGTTAGAGGACCATGATGAAATCCTGAAACCAATAGAATTCCTGCATACCAACACCCGAATATCAATCTGATGTTCACTGGCGACTAGCTCATTTAGGTAGGTAGTTACTTAGGTTCTAGTGAGAAGTCGTGACCAGTGGGGTACAGCAGTTCGGGTGTGAAGACAAACACTCGACACCGATGACATTGGCTAGTGGTCGCGCTCTGTCATGAATTGGCAGAAGTTAGAATTCATGGATTGGCCATTGGATTGGGTCATAGTGGCTTAATCGTTTATGAGCTCACTAGCCTTGTAACCAGAATGTCCTGGGTTCAAACGCTTGGGGTCGGCGCGTACTTCTGAAGAGTTCCAGACTAGGACGAAACATCTATCCAGTAGTCTCTGGTTTTCGAATGGTCCTCTAATCGATGTCACTTCATTATGAAATTGCTAATCTATTAACCAGAAAAATTTACATAATAATGGAACACGATATTATAGACGATATTCTACTCTAACGTAACTGAAAAATATTCCCCCAGTTCCTAGGTTTCATAGGTATCAAAACAGTTTCGTATACATACATAAAAAAGAAACATTCTCCTCACATTCATTTACTCACAAGGAAAATACAGGTAATAATAAAACATTATAACACTAATCCTTACTTCAACCCTAATACTTACATAATATCTAATCGTGACCCAAACCGTAATACTAATCCTAATCTTAACTTGCTAATTAACTCACTATTCGAACAGTATTTAAAAACGAGATCACGATAAAATGTGCACATCACTTCGTGCAAAGCGTTCATACTGACGCTGTAATAAAAGGCAACCTGTGTTATCCAATGAATGGCATGCATTCTACAAACTGACACCAGTAAGAGAAGTACTGAACAACTATTTCGTCCCAATTTAGGACTCTTCGTCAGTGCACGCATATGAAACCACTTAAACGTTTTTCAAGCAATGAACAGCGGTGTAACATCAAATTTTCTGCGTTTTTTTTAATTTGATTACCGAATTTCATATAAGGCTGTCTTTTCTAAATAAATTATTCACATCCAATCAGCGAATTCTCTACTCTGGGACACCACCATCTAAAGACATCAAAACACAGATTTTTACAAAAAATCACGGTGAAACCACCATAGTCTTGTGATCATAATCCCCCTCTTTTTCTTTCTTTTTGTATGAAACCAATTAACTACAACGACATATCACACCTTATTATCAAAGTGTATGCACAAGTTGGAATATGAGTCGAAATTTGAAATCATAGAGAACTTTGACAAAACGATAACCAAAAATCAAATACCAAAGGTTTGTATATTCGAAGCAATCAGTCGATCAACAATCAAGATTCCAATTTTTAAGAGAATAATAGATAAGAAACTGTTGAGTGGCTCTAAAAGAATTAGTTGTCAAACGAAAAATCCTTAGAGAAACCACCCCTGACAAATCGATTACAGGCCTACATCAATCAATAAAAAGACAACTAAATAGTTCATAAAAACAAAAAATAATAAGTCTGTACATCTTCCAACTTTAAAGTTGACATCATCAGTTTTGATTGGAAAGATAATGTAAACAAAGAGTTGGTTTGTAGGAATTTGATTGGTTACAGGATTTTCATCATGAGCTGATATTAGTTAGAGAACCATTGGGAAACCAACTGGGAGTACTGGACGGTTGTTTCCTCCATCCTGGTCTGGGACTCTTCAGCAGCACGCACCCACCGGGATTCGAACCCAGAGCCTTCTGGTTACAACGCGAGCTAGCTCATTGACCATTAAGCCACTGGGACCCGATCCAATCGCCCACGAATTCTAACTTCTGCCAATTCACAACATAGCGCGACCCCAGCCACTGTCTTCGGAGAGTATTTGTCCTCACACCCGACCTGCTGCACCCTACTGGGGTTCTAGTGAGTAGTCATGATGAAAATCCTGTAACTAAAGAAAGTGTTCATTGAAGCTGTGAATGAATTCTGTGCAGACGAAACATATACTATATGACTCCACTTTTCCAAGGAGACGCAGCTACTGAATTTCTGGCATCGAAACTCCACAAAATACTAGCTAAAACATTCTTTGCCATCACACTATGCTCATAATTCATCACTCGTCTTATAACTCTAATGCAGATTAGAGAGGAACTACCGTATCTGGCCACTTTACAAAGTATATTTATAGATTTAATCTTTCTTGTGGAGACAGTTATATAGATGAAACGACTCAGCAAGCCTACTATCGCCATCTTGAATACTGGCCAACATGGTTAGGTAAAGGAGTCTTGGATATAAATCACAAGACTGATAGAAATTCAGCCTTTACAATTCTATAGAAGGGAGCCACCTAGATTCCCCAAGTTTATAAGTCTTCAATTGCTAAGCATAGCTGAGACGGTCGCAATAAAAAGTTTTCAGCTCAGTCTTTGTGTTAAGAAAAATTTTGTACAACTTCTCTCCTTCCCATGGCATTCAAACCCACTATTATTATTATATCCTTTAGTTCCTAGAGGAACATAGGGCCTCGGCCGCCCAAGTCTCCATTGCGTTCGGTTCTTTGCCAACGTTTTCATCTAGCTCCAAGTCTGCCATACGC